ATTAATGGGTTTTTGTTCTTTTTTTATTGTTGTTTGGGTGGATGATGTGTTAAGGAGGTGCCGGTAATGAAGATCTATGCGTGGCTAGTTGACTACACTGATTTAAGGGTTGATAAAGAAATGGCAAGGATAGCTTGTTTGTTTGTTTCGTTTGTGGTGATTGGTTTATTTTTCTTTTGGGTGTTTCGTGTTTTTTTCTACATGTCTTTTTGCATTGTTTTTTTTTCTTCAGTTATTGCTGTTTTTTTTTGTTCTTATTGGAAGAACTTTGATGACGGTCATCGTTAGCACTGCTGATGTGCTCCTGGCGTGAGGATGGCAGTTTGTGTGTAAAAAAAAAGTCCTTGCTTTTCTTGAGATAAGAAACGGTTTCTTACGTGTGAAGGCAATTGGGTTTGCCTTTGCTTTTCTAGTGAGGAATTACGTCGTGGTTGCTTTATACGTGATTTTTTTGATTGCATTTCTGCATGTCGTGGTGGTAATCATCGTTTTTTGTTAATATTTAGGTGACGGGTGTTTATTACCGGCAATCCGCCTTTTGGTTTATTTTTTTTTTGGTCGTGTGTATGGGATCGACCCTCGGAAAAGAGTTTCTCCTATCTTATTGGGCTTCTTTTTGGTGTGTGTGTGTGTATGTGGAAGGGGTGCTGCATATAAAACTTCTTGGCTGATTAGTCGTGCAGCACGTGGTGCATAGAAGGTTTTTGGCGCGGGTTGGGCATTGTTATGGATAAACTGTGAAGTCGTTAAGCAACTTTCAGATCGTTTGTATCATTAAATGGATTTAGATTCTGCGAGCTGCTTATGGGCGGATAAGTATTGGACTTACTAAATATGTTTGAATACTGTTCCTTTTGCTGTAATTCGTATAATATTTTGCCTTTCTTCCTTTCTTATTCTTTCTTGGTGTTTCTTTTTTTTCCCCGCTTATCGATTCGTTCTGAGCAGCGAGTACTTTTTCCTTTGTTTTTGCTTTTAGTTTCTCCTTCAAGACAGCAACACTCCAGTGTCGTTCTCTCTCAATTTCTCACTATTTACTTTGAGACAACTCTTCTTTTTAGCGGCCATTTTTTTGTTTTTACGTGTATTTTTTTTTAGGAAAGGCTTAAAAAAAAAAAGAAGTTCCTTCCTGTTCCAACTACCCCGTTGGTGTTGGTACTCTAATACATATATTGCCGACGAGCACGGCATCTTGATTTATATTTTATATATTATTTTTGAGGCTGGGAAAAATGTCTGAGGAGACGGTGGGCCGCTCCCTAGCAGACCTAGGTGAACCTATTCGGCGTCTCTTGCTGCAAATACAACGAAATTTGACGGATGAAGAACTTGATATGTTTGCCAAGATAAGGGTGCGTCAGCTTGCCAAGGTGTATGATATGTTGGCTTTGGAAGAGGACCCTGAACGGATTTTGGCGTGGCTAAAGAAAGAGCACTTAAAGGCGAAGGGCATTGATCCAGAGGAGGCGATGGAGAAAACACGCAACAAAGTTTTGACTGAGGGGGGCAGAGATCCTATCGCATACTTCAAAGAGATTGAACGAAAAAATATGGAGTTAATGGAAAAATTGAAGCAGACGCAAAAGGAACGTGAGAAAAAGCGCGAGGAAAACATTGCTGAGCGACGACGTCGGCGTGAGGAATGCAGGGCGCGTGCCCTGAAAAGGAAGGAGGAGGCAAGAGACGAAGTTGAGGATGTGAATTCGATGAAACCAGAAGATCTTGCCGATATTATGGGTGCTTTTGAAAGATTTACCTCAAAGCAATCGACCTTTGATAATTCAAGCGGTGCTCAGGATAATGAATGGTGGAAACGTGATGAATATCGCTGGGAATACGAAAAGCATGGTCTCAAGGGCAACAGATGGACGAGTGTCGTTGAAGGTGGTTCTATGAGGGCGCCAGAACCTGAGATTCAGATGCGTGAAGAATGGTATCGTGTACAGTGCTGGTGGAAAACAGATGCTCAGCGTCGAAATTGGTTGGCGTATCGCGACGCTGAATGGTGGAAGGAAGAGCCCTATATTACAGATTGGCTGGATAATGGCGAAAATGGAGTTATGTGGGCTGCGGCTGATGAATTGTCTGGGTATAATCGTCGTGGAAATCGTCGGAAGGCGGTGAGGTTAGAGCTGGATCGTCGAGTAAAGTGGTACAAAGCAAATGGGCCTAAAGGCATCGTGAAGACATGGTGTGCCTTGTTTGAAGGCAGCAAAGACCACTGTACGGTGGAGGAGAAATTCGAACGTGATGATTATTACAAAAATGGAGATTGGTGGAAATCTGAACTCTACCTTAATTCTCTTTCCGACAATTCTGATGACTGCCCTGCACTACGATTTGCCTCCGCTGCAGCTATGGATCTGGAATGGTGGAAGCAACCACTTTTTCGTGCTGATTTTGAAAGGGGTGGTGTGCGTTGGAAGGCCTTGAATGAGGAATTGGCTGTACGTGGTATCAAGGAATTTGTGACGGACGAAGAACTTGATCGGAGGAGAGCTTGGTTTAAGAACTATTGGTGGAAGGGAGAGAAATTTATCCGAGACTATGAGAAGAATGGGTCTGCGGGTAAGCTTTGGAAAGCCACGGATGCCGGATCAAACACACTTGCCGATGCTGTTCTTATTCGTTCACGAGAGGAGTGGTATCTTGCCTGTCGTGAAACAGAGTGGTGGAAAGGGGAGAAGTACATTCAAGACTGGGTATGTTATGGAGAGAAAGGCTTGCTTTGGACGGCAGCTTGGCGTAATGCGGCGTTGCGCGGGGATGGGAAGAATAAGGCCTCTGCGGCGGCGTTAAGAGAGCGTGCGGAATATTATGAAAATAATTTCTGGAAGCAAAACAAGTATGTCAGGGATTACATGGCTTTTGGAGAAAGAGGGCTACTTTGGAACTCTGAGCAGGCTTCCGCCGCGAAGGATGTTGATTGGTGGAAGAGTCCCTTTCTGTTCCGTCAGTGGCTTTTGGCTAGCCATGCATTTCCGACGGAATTCTGGAAGGATCCTGAAGTGATATCCGATTATTGGAAGAACAAGGCGGCCGGGAAGAAGTGGACCGCTTCGAATGCGCTGGCCGCCACACTGGAAAAGGGTGATGTTGAGGTGGCTTCTTCTGATGAATTGGCAGTGCGCGAACGGTTCTATGAAAAGTATTGGTGGCGGCAGAGAGAGTACTTGAACGATTTCTGCGCAAAAGGGACAAAGTGGTCTGCCCCAACACCCGAGGGAATTGGTAAATGTTCTGCTGTCGAACTGAAAGAACGACAGAACTACTTCCAGCCAAGTGCGCTCTCGCGTGTGGTGCTTGGTTATCAATGCTTAATTGAGTTGGATGCGGTTGCCCCTGTGTCCGGTCTATTTGCTTCTTGTGAAGAATTGCATTTGCGGGAGCAGCACTATCAGAGAAATTGGTGGAAGACGCAGGCAGGTTTAACGGATTATGCTTTCCATGGTGGCAATAGCCTGTACATACGGGCGGCCTCGTACGATGACGCGCGTGCCTTGGAAGGCGGCAACTGCTCCTCTCCCATTGAAGCGGCAGCCAGGATGTTGTTTTTTGACAGTGGCTTTCTCGAGTACAGCGCTGACCATGAATACGTTGGGGAGTTTATCGCCGCAGCTGATTGGTGGCAAGCGCCTGCTATTATTTCCGATTTTTTTGATAATGGTGAGAATGGGGTGAAGTGGAAAGCATGCAACTCGGCCAGTGGGACATGTGGTTTTGCAGGGAGGGACGGCGCTTCAACAGAAGAGCAAAATTATCGCAAGAATTTCTACGTAGCCAACTTTTGGAGGAGTTCGGAATGTCTTCAGGACTTTCGCCGCCATGGTATTAAAGGGAAGTTGTGGACGATGAGTAAACCTCTCGGTAAAGGAGAGCGTGTGGACGAAAAACACCTACTCGTTCGTGCACAGGTTCTTAGCGGATACCCCGAGGATGCATGGATGGAGGACATGGAAGCCAACTGGTGGAAGGCCCCTGAAGTACGGGCAGACTTCTACGCAAATGGCGAGTCGGGCTGCATGTTCGGCGCGGTTAATGCACACGTTGCGGTGGAAAGACTTGGAGCGAAAAATGAATACAAGGCCGATGAGGCTGAACTACAGAAGCGTGTAGAGTTCTACCGCACGCATCCTCTCTCCCCCGAGGATGGGGAAAAGTGTCACTACCTCTACTTAATCGAACCCTTCTGGCTCACGCCTGCCAGCGTGGAAGATTACTGGGTAAATGGTTCAAGAGGCAGAAAATGGACCGCCGCCAATGCAGCCGCGTTCAGTTGCTCCCTGGGTGATAAGTTTGCGGCCACACCAGCGGAGCTGAAGAGACGCGAAGAAGCCCTTCAAACCGTCTTTTGGCGCGTTGCGGCGTACAAGGAGGATTTCCTCGCCCATGGAAAGGAAGGCAAGCTGTGGAACATGAGCGAGTACGACGGTGCTGGGGATGTCATCCGCCGTGAGGAGGAGGTTGTGCGCACCTCGTACTATCTTCGCTTGTCGGAGAAGTACTGGGCTGACTGCCGGTATGCGGCCGTCAATTGGTGGAAGGCGCCTGAGGTTCGCAACGACTACAACATAAACGGTTCTCGGGGTAGTCTGGTCGGCGCCGCCACCGCCGCGGTGGCATCCATGGGGCTCTACAAGAATGAACCCTACGGCGTTTCCGCGGCGACGAAGGAGCAAAGGATGAGCTACTTTAAGACGCATCCGTATCGCGATAGCCGTGTCCCTCAGGCTCTCTTGAGTCGCGAGTTGACGAAGACGTCGGCGATGGGGGACTTGTTTTGGGTTCACCACGACTGCCTGGAAGACTTTTGCTTGCATGGTGCCCAGGGAGCTGTTTGGTCGGCGGGGGATGCGGCGGCGGCAAGCACCGGATCCGCGCGCCTGTTCCGCGCCCACCCCGACGAGATACGCCTTCGGGAGGCGTTTTTCAGGAAGTTTTGGTGGAAGGCCTCAAAGTATCGGCTGGATTTTCTCCAAAATGGGTTTGACGGCCTCCTGTGGACAAAAAGCGCTCCCCACGCCGCTGGCGGGCAAGCCTCCAAGGGCGAACTCCTGCAACGCGTCTGCTACTACGCCTGCGCCGGGCTTGAGTGTGAAAGACGCGCTGAAGAGTTTACTTTGTGCTGGTGGAAGTCACCAAATTCCATTGTCTACTACATGACCGATGCAGACGACAGCGCGTACATCAAAGCTCCCTCGCCGCAGGTGGCACTGTCCCAGCCCCGCGTTCCGGACGCCACCGCCGCCGCCGCGTCGTTGCTGGAGAATCGCCAGCGCTACATGGTTTTCTTGACCCCAACAGACGCCGCTGACGACATCACCGATTCGCAAATCATGGCTGGTGTGAAGCCTGAAAACGGCATGTGGTGGAAAAATGAGGCATACCAGCGCGAGTATGACACGCAACGACCATTGGAGCACTGGAAGGACCCGATGTGCATCTCGGACTACCTCAAACATGGCCCCAAGGGTAAGAAATGGACCATCGCAGGCGCCTTCTTCCCCAGAAACATGAAGGCAGTCTGCAGTGAGGAAGAAATGAAGGAGCGGGAGGCGTACTACAAGATGAACTTTTGGAAATCCGTGGAGGCACGCAATGACTACGAAGTGAATGGTCTTAAGGGAACCCTGTGGACCTCCTCGGAGCCCAATGGTAAGGGAACCCCCGCTTCCGATGCCGAGCTTAACGTTCGCATGAACTACTATAAACAATCCCCCCTTTGGAAACTAGCCATTGACCCTGGGACAGACGCGAAGTGCAAATGGTGTGGCATCCACGACGACTTGTTGCGGTGCTCGTGGTACGAAGAGAACTGGTGGAAGTGCATGGTCGGGGATGACTACTTGAACCGTGGCCAGAGAAGCACGTTTTTGCGTGCGTCGTGCCTGCGGGGGCTTTTGAGTGGGCCCGTGGCTTCGCCTGAGTGGCAGGCCAGTGAAGAAGAGGTGAGGCGACGCATCGCTTACTTTGATGGTCTGGGAGAAATTGAGTGGTGGCAAAACCCCGTTGTGGTGTCGGAATTTCTGAAGCACGAGGAGGGTGCCTTGTGGAAGGCGCGCACGTTTAAAGAGGCGCTGCTCAGCATGGGGTTGGAATTCCCCGCAGACCGCACGGAGCTGGAGCGCAGAAGGCGTTGGTACAAGGCCAACAGCTGGAAGTCCGCCGAAATGGTGCAGGACTACGTCGCGGGCGGAAACAAGTGGAGGCCCGCAGAAACTTCTAACCCCGCGTTGTGCGAGGCGTGGATGCAGTCGCACAGGCCAGCCCCCGCGGAGGAGCAAGCTAGACGAAAGCAATGGTTTGACCACCAGCTAACGGACGAGCAGCTGCAGGTTCGTCGGGCGTGGCTTCTGAAGCGGTCTCGCGATGCTCGCCGCATACATTTCTCAGAGTTGGGGGACCTTCTTGCGCATCTAAATGACGGCGTCCACCCCAGCGAGGACGAGATCCAGGCGGTTGAGGACGCCATTCGCGCCGAGCAAAAGTATCATTCCATATTTGATGGCGTCACTCAGCAGGATGTTATGCGGGCGATGCAGGCCACAAGCTTCTACATTGGGGCAACGAAGGAGGAGCGGAGGAGGTCCGAGGAGGAGGCACTTGAGGTCCTTCAAAAGGAGGAGATGGATCGCCTGGAGGAGGAAGCTGCGCACTTGGCACAGGAGGCATACGACGAGCTCGAGGCCGCCGGGGAGGAGTATGTCCCCTTTGACGAGGCGGCGGACGCCGAGGAGGCAGAGTACCTCAAGGCCTTGGAAGAGGAGGAGGACGCCAGAGTGAGGCTCAACGAAGACGATGTTGAAATGAAGTGGGAGTCACAGAAGGAGGAGGAGGAGGAGGAGACTGCTGAGGAGAATAACAGCGGCGAGGCGCTGAAGCAGCGGCAGCGCACGCTGGAGGAGGCCTTCGCGGCGGGGGAGTACGGCGGCGACGTGGGCGAGGAGGACACCGACGCCGCCAAGGGCGAGTTGGTGGAGGACGTGAAGGCCGCCCTCGAAGACCTCGTCAACGAGGACGGCTGGAAGGAGGAGGACGAGGCGGCGGCAGCTGCCGCCGCCAAGTGGAATGCGGAGCAGGAGGAGGTGGAGGACTCGATGGCGGCCGCCGCCAAAGACTTCGTGCTGCCGCTGCGCGCGGTGCCCAACCCGCAGTACCTCAAGGGCTACTTCACGCTGATGAAGTACACGCCGAGCGTGAATTTGATCAACACCAGCCAAAAGCGCATCTGGGTGGTGGACCACTTCACCCAGTGTTTCTACAACCTGGCGAAGAACAACCGCATTCGCAAGGAGCACGCCGCGAAGAAGTTGATTCAGTTGGAGAAAAACATTGTCGACAAGACGCGGCTGCGGATGATGTTTTTCGACGCCTCGCACTCGTACGATGTGCAGTTTGTCAACGCCAACGAGCGGGAGCGCTTCTACGAGACGGCGAGCGCCATTCGCGCCGCCGTCCGCGTCTTTGCCCCGGACCTGGTCGACGAGCATGAGACGCGGTCGCGCGTCACCATTGACGCGTCCGGCGCCAACGCCTTGTCCGTGATATGCCCGGATGCCTCCTCCAAACCCGTAAAGCGACAGTTGCTCGGCGAGTGCCGCATCAACGCCACAAGGCACCTCACGGAGCAGATCTCCATTTGGTGTGGCACCTTCAACCTCGGCGGTCACCGTCCGCCCAGGCGCGTGGAGGAGCTGCAGCGCTGGATGCCGCGGGGGAGGTACGACATTTACGCCGTCGCCGTCCAGGAGGCCTCGTTCCGCCGCCACGATAATGAGTGGACAGACTACGTGCAAAGCTACCTCGGCGAGGACTATCTTCCAGTTGCCAGCATGCTGCTGTGGGATATTACGCTGGTTGTAATGGCAAGTAGGCGGAATATTTTGAAGATTACGAATGTTGAGGGCTCCACGCGAGGAACCTCCCAGAGGTCGGTGTGTGGAATGAAAGGTGGTGTGGCCATCTCCATGCAGTACTTGGAAACCTCCTTGTGTTTCTGCACCTGCCACCTGACGGCGCGCAATGAGCATTTTGCCATGCGTAACTCCTTGTTGGAGGAAATTGTCGGAAACGTTCACTTGGGATTCCCGGGTGCCGACATCACAAGTCAGTTTGATCACGTGTTTTTCTTTGGGGACTTTAATTATCGCTGCGACATTGACCCCGCCCATGCAGTTAAGTTAGTTCAGCAGAAGAACTACGACAAGCTGCTGGCGTACGATCAATTTATTAACCAACGCAACAGCTCGGGTGTCATGCACGGCTTTGTGGAGCCGGCCATCAATTTTGCCCCAACCTACCGCCTTAGCAGTAAATCTGCCGAGTACGTCCTGAAGAGCTCTCCCAGCTACTGCGCCCGTGTGCTGTACAAGAGCGTGCTCGATTCGTGGGTAAAGTGCCTGGGCTACACCTCCGACCCTGAGCTGATGCTCTCCGAGCACAGACCGGTCTCGGCCACCTTTCTTGTGCGCTGCGTGCGCCCGGTGATGTCGTGTTTCATGAAGTCGCAGACGCCCGTTCCAGAGTTTGTGTTCGACGACGTCGCCGTCAAGGACTACACCGGCGGCGTGATCAAGAAGCCTACGCTGTCTATAAGCGCGGATTTCGCATCCAACATGGCGCCTGTTTTGTCGCATGAGACACACACAACGGCGCCGCAGTGGAAGAAAGACACGCTGCCGCTTGTCACCTCCGTCACACAGGTGCAGGAGTACCTCGAGACGCGGCACATTCTCCTCGTCATCCTCGAAGGGTCCGAGAAGCGGGAGGTGAAGCAGAGCCGAGGAACGGCTGTGGTGACACTGAAGGGGCGCGTGATTGGGAAGGAAGACACACCGGTGGAGTTCGACGCGGAGATTGTCTACCGCGGCAGGTCCGTCGGAAGGATTTGCGGCTCATTGAAGTGGCAGGCTTTGAAGAGCCAACACTAAAAGGAGTAACGGAGGACGCGCAACGAAGGCAAGCCTGCGTTTCCCGAACTGAGAAGGAGAGCAGCCGGCAATTGATGCAAGCAGGCGAAAACAAGTGAATTTCTTTTTTTTTTTTTTGTATAGGAAGTGAGGTTGTTTACTATTATTATCGTTATTATTTCTGCATAGAAGCCTCTATGACTCGTTGTTTGTTTTTTTTTGTGAACATTATTATTAATTTTTCTTTTTCTTTTCTTTTTTGGTTCCTTCTTTTTTGGGGACGCCGAGGGGGCTGGCGCGAGCCGTGCCGCTGTCGCCACTGGCCGCTTCGTCGGTTGCGGCGGGCTGTCGCTTCTTTGGGGTCGTGTCGGCAAGCGCATATTTTTTTGGGGATTCACTTCTTCTGTTCGTTTGATTTAATTATTTTTATGTTTTTGCTTTTGTCTTTATTTTTACCGTCTGGCGCGTTGCACTCGCCGCCGTGTTGGTTTGTTTCTCTGCCTCGCTGTCTGAGAGGGGAGAGGACGGGCGGGCGAGGAGAAGTGTGGGGGAGCCCCGCCTGCCTCGGCGCCCGCGCGCGTCTGTGTGTGTGTGTGTGTGTGTGTTTGTTTGTTTGTTCCACGCTGTCTTTTGTTTTGTTGTTCTTGTTGTTGTCGGCCTTCGTCTCTTTTGGCTCGGCGCGGCACCCGCTTCACCGCCCCCGCCTCCGTCTCCGTCTCCGTCTCCGTCTCCGTGGGCGGGGGCGGCGTCGCTGCTGCTGCTGCTGCTGCTCCCTTCGCCCCACTGTTCGCCGCGCCTGCACTGCTGCTCGCCCCCGCCCCCGCGTCTTCTTGCGTGCCCGGCAGTTTTAGCGGGATCCCCTTTTGTGCCCTCCGCGGCGCCATGACGCGCGTGTACGTGGGCAACATCGACAAGCGGGCCACGAAGGAGGA